CTGATCTATAAAATGAGATTGAACTAAATGAACTAAGATTCTTCTCAGCACTCACATTCTATAAGTCTGTGATCTCTGCCCTCAAGGAGTTTGGAATTTAGTAGGGAAGACTAATGCCAATGAAAGAACATGAAACAGTTGGCCAGCCATATGTAATTAAATGCTAAACAATGTCATACAGACTATTAAGTGGTATGGGAACTCAGAAGAATGTGAGATCAATGAAGATTCCAGCAGCTTTTGTTGAAAGATTGAATGAATGAAAGAATAGCAAAGCCTTAAAAAGAATAAGAAAATCTTAGAAAAACATGGAAAGACTTGCATGAAATAATGAAGAGACAAATGAGCAGAATCAAGAAAACATTGTTTACAGTAACAGCAATGTTGTTTTAAGAACAACTTTCAGCAAATAAGTCATTTTGGCTATTATAAATACCCAAATTAACTATGAAGGACATATGAAGAAAGACACTATCTGCATCCAAAGAAAGAACTGATAAAAAGAAATATGTTTAGAATGGTTTTACACACATACACACACACACACATGTCTAATGGTAGCCATCGGGAGAGGGGGAGGAAAAATAAAAGAAATTTACATGATAACTTTATTATTTATTTAAATGGAATAGCAAGTTGTACATAATAGAAAAGAATAAGTAAGATTGTATAAACAGAGGAAAGAAGGGGTAGAGTATTCTTCATAAGGAAAGCAATGTGAATGAAGGCGTTTCCATAGGACAGTGAAGCCAAAATGATCTCTAGTCACTAGACATTACTCTTCCCAGTACTGGTTCCCAGCAGTTGATGTGACAGCCAGTCTCATCTTATGCTTGGAAATTACTGAGAAGCACAGGAGATAAATTCATGTGATTTAGGTCACTTCCAATATTTCAGGGTAGGAAGTGGGTGGTCTAAGCGGATGTTTGAGAGTGACTCTTTTGTTTTTCTAAAATCACTTGAAGATAGCCTAAATGCCAATTGTCTCAAAAAGCCCCAGCTCCAGGAATGCCCTATGGGAATTTCTGATCATGACTACTGGGATGGAGTGTGTATTCAGAGACTACAGGGAAGTGATTATATATAACTGGGGGAAAGTGTGTATGTGAGCATGCATGAGCATATGAGAGTGTATGTATATGTGTATGTGCATGTATGTAACAGGTAGTGGAAAGGCAGGGATTCTAGTGGAAGTTCAATATGCTTGGGCCCTAGATATAGCTCTGACTGACTCTCTGGGTGTGTTGGGTGAAGTAATTTAACTTCTCTGTGCTTCAGTTGCCTCATCTGTAAAGTAGGAGTGATGATTTAGGTACTCTGTTAAATCATAGAGTCCTTACGAAGACACAGGAGATAATAAATGCAAGGAGCTCTTAAACAGTAGCTAATACAAATAGGAGGGAGGTTGAATGGTGGTGAGTTATCTGGTCAAACATAAAGTCTCATCCCCCTGAGAGTCCTTTGCAGAAATTTATCAAAGCATTTATTGCCTATTATCCATTCATTGTCCCTGTGAACTTCTCCATATCATATGTCAAACCCTATGGCTATAAACTGCTTTGTAATCATCTTTATTAGTTATCACTAGTCTTGGTTGGATTATCGTCTGCCGTCATCATTGGTCTGTGGTGTGCTCTTGAAATCCAGCTCCCTAATCCTCGGAAGCAGCGTGCCTGATACTGAGGCTTTCATCTCTGAACCTTTCTCTTAATGCTGTATTCAGATTCTAAGCCATGGAACCAGGTGGTAGATGACACCAGGAAATAGTGAGGTCGTTCCTGTACTTCCAATAACTAAATTACTTTGGACAGTGTCCAAGATAAACCCATGTTAATAAAGAATCCCACACTACGGCAGGATGTGTCATAGATAATGAGACCCCAGTGTAGTGGGCTGAATCAGGCTTGAGTAAAATAGCTGTTTCTTAGGGCACCACTCATTAGATTTAGGTTCACTCAGATAGATTTATTATCTGGCCTTCCAGTCTAATACTAAAAGGGTGGATTCAGGTTATCTAAGCCTTGAACTGATTCCAGACTTTGACCTTGCCTGGGGGGTGCCCCAGGCTTTAGACTCCACATTGGAGCCACTTCTTTCCAGCTGCTCCCTCCCTCAGAGTCAGAGAAGGGGTTGTGTCTTCCTTCTGAATTCACTGGTAGAGTCAGCATCTCTGCCAGCTGACTCCATACATTTTGGGCAAATTGAGGGCGAAGGCAGTAAATATGGTATAGTGGGAGGAGTGCTGGATTCAAGAGGACTGAACCCGAGGCAGAAAACTTGGATTCAAATCTACCTCTGCTGTTGATTACCTGTGTAACCTTAGGCACATCATTTAACTTCCTCAAGGCTTGGTTTCTTTATTAAAATAAAAGGTTAAGTCTGGACAGCTCTTAAGTCCCTTGTAACTCTTCTGTGCGTCTTTCCATAGCGTCCTTTCCTTGTTAGTAGGAAGAGGACCAGGTTGGAGAGAGAGAGATTCAGGAAGTTTTTCAGAGCTACCAAAAAATAACCATCCTCATACATCCCTTCTCTGGATAACCCTCAGGATTGAGAGATGCTTCTAGGCTTTCTTTTTCCATCATAACCAATCACAAAGAGAAAAAAATCCAGGCCCAGAGGTTAATAGGGGTCTACTGTGATTTGCATGATCCACTGAGTTTCAGACTTATCCTTTTCCCTTTTAGGAAATCAGTAAAACCCCTTCTTCCTCTCTGATCCCCTCATGATGGATGGCCTTTCTTCTCCCTGGCCTTCTGAGCCTGAAAGTGTCGAGAGTTCAAAAGAAGTCACAAACCTTTTGTGTGCCCCTAGCCTGGAACTTTATGCAACAGCAACTTCGAGATAAGAAACTAGGACATCCTCCTGAGAAGTGTTTCTACATCTCTTAATTAACACATCCTGACTGAGCCGGGTTTCTTTGGCTTCGTAGAGGATTCCAGGGAGTGAGTGTACAAAGTCCTTAACTCCTCTAAGCGGGTGGACTTTCCAGTGTAATGTAGCCCAGCCACATGCGGACATAGGTTTTGGAAGGAGTTGACTTAACATTGGAACATAGCATCATTTTGAAAGTAAAGTTGGAAAAACCCCAATACCTGCTATACCTAAGCAGGAATCAGAGATTATAGTAATTTCTTATTCAACACTTTTCCCATAGAACATTATAAGATAGGCATAGGGACAGGATAAGCAATGTACACATGAAAGGATCACTTATAATAATGTAGAGTTAGAAATAGGGCCTGGGCTAGTGATTTTACTTATGTTGGGAATTCTCTGGTGAGGAAATACCTATTAGAGCAGGTCAGCACCTCCTCTACAATTTGTAGTCTTCTAGTTGCCTAGAACATTGAAAGGCTAAGTGACTTGTGCCAGATCCAGGATGTAATGGAGCCAGCTCAAAACAATTGTTGGATTTTCAGTGTGATCATTTACACCTGGGAAATCACCAAATGCTATCAAGGCTTGATTTATTGTGTTGTTGATTGTCTAGACTTAATAAAATGTTAATCATGAAAATAAAACTAAAAAGTGTGTCCTGAATATTTTTGGAGGGAGAGAACTTTGTTATACATTTACCAACATACCTCTTGATGAGGGTCATGTATCTGGCATGGAATCAAGCTGGAACTTTCAGGCTTCCAAATCAGCTATTTAATATGCCATGATATTTCTATGTTATGATGCATATATGTATGTGTGTATGCATATGAACGCAATAAATCTTTATCAGGATAGCTAGATGACCCAATGGATTGAACGCCAAGCCTGAGATCAGGAACACCTGAGTTCAAATATGGCTTACTAACTGTGTGACCCTGGGCAAATCAGAACCCTATTTGCCTCTGTTTCCTCATATGTAAAATGAGCTAGAGAAGAAAATGGCAAATCACTCTAGTCTCTTTGCCAAGAAAACCCCAAATAAGGTCACAAAGAATTGGATACAACTGAACAACAACAACAAAAATATTAAGTGCCTACTATCTGCCAACCGCTGCACAGTCTGGACAGTGTTCAGTGCTGAAAGGAGGGATACAAAAGTTAGTTTAAAAATTGTTCCTTCCCTCAAGGAGTTTATAGCCTTCTAGGAAAATAAGATGCACACATTTTTGTGCAATCAATGCATAGTCTTTTAAGTTCATTCACAAGTTATAAAATGAAGTACTACAGGAAGTACAAGGGAGAAAGTAATTTGCAACCTTGGGAATCAGGGAAGGCTTCTTGGAGGAAGTAGGTAGCATTTTAGAATTAGGTTTCAGAGGAAAGGCAGGAATTTAAGAGATATAAAGCCAAAGGGAGGACATTTGAAGTTTCAGGAACAGTTTAAGCAAAGACTCGAAAGGCTGATAGCAGAGTGAATGATTGCAGGGTAATTGTCATTCTATCACATTTGTGGTTAAACCAAAATTATTCTTGCCCCTCTGAATTTCAAATAAGTGAAATTTTACCGTATTTCTTGTATTCCGCAGAAGAATAGTATATTCTTTCTTGCTTTCTAGGATGTCCCACTGTGCTCTCTGGTGGTCAGGGGAGCCACCACGTCTTTAATACAAAATATTTCTTATTATGTATTTCATAATGTCCAGCATAAGGCTACCAAATGGCAACTGACAATGATGTCAAAAAGTTGAGTTTCATTTATAGTCAACATTTTAGTTAAGTTTTGTTTACTTTAACCTTTGGCAAGTTCTGTGGCCAGGCCCCTCACAAGACCATAGGATTTAGGGTTTAAAAGTTCCTTACAAATCATCTGATCAGCCTGCTCCTTTTACAAATGAAAGAAACAGAGGCCCAATGAGGGTAAGCCACACAGGCTGTAAGTAGCTGGCCTGGTACTTGAGCCCAGGTTCTCTGCCTTCATATTGAATACTCTGACTTCACCAACTATCCAACAAAGGAATCCGGGGACAGTTTCCAGGGAACAGTTTCATTTCCAAGACACTAGAGGCAAATCAGCTACAACCTTGATCTAAACTCCATGTCTCCCTGTCCTTCCTTTATAGATACGAGGTGGTATGCCACACCACAGAACTGGCCAATGACATCCTGGTGCCCTCGTATGACGACAAGAAAAAGCATTGTGTGTTTCAAGGTGATCTTTTGCTGTTCAGCTGTGCAGGAGCCCACCCCAAGCACAAGAGAATATGCCCTTGCAGGGACTACATCAAGGGCCAAGTAGCTCTCTGTCAAGACTGCCTATAGCAGCAGAAGTCCCAGGCCCCAACTGATTCAACTGGGAAGGAACCTAGCTGGGGGCAGGGAGGGATAGGGTGGTCCAAGGTCTGCCCCGACTGCCAGAACTCTTTGGTCTTTTAGTTTAGATGTTGGTTTTGCTACCAGTGGAGTTAAAACAACAAAATGGAGTTCTAAATGACAACAAAATAGAGACGGTGCAGTGGACTGACTTCCTCACATGGGGATTTTTAAAAAAATCTTCAGTGAGCAACTGTGGTGAGACTCTTCCAAAACCATCCAGCTGCTCTTGGGTAAAAATAAATGAAGTTCCATGCTTCATTTAAAAAAAAAAAGTTAAGACGATCATGAAGACTCTTGTGTGGGAAAAATTCCTAAATCCATTAACTTATTTATTTGTGGGAGGGCTAGGGAGGGTTAGGGAAAGAAGGGAAGGAATAATGCATTTTTTTTTCCTTCTGCTGTCCATCTTCTACTTTCACTAAATAGCATTCCAGCGTAGTTTGGCATAGCAGAGGAAGGGAAGGAAGTGCCAAGAATTTGATGTACAGCTACAGTCAGGGAATTAGATTGAGGGGTGCACTGAGAAGGTTCCCAAAGAGTGACAAACTGAGGAATAAACAAAAGCTTTTTCTGTTTAAAACCAAATGGTACACTCCAAGACATCAGTCAGTTTACCTGGACATCTCTTCAGCAAAGTAAGAGGGATAGTTCAGGCAACTGAGAAAAGGATTAGTGTTATGATGGGGAATAGCAGTGCTTGGGGAGTGTCCCAAGGGCCTGGAGCCCAAACCCATCAGGTGGTGCAATTTTAGAAGAGAAAAATCTCTCTTCCCCTTCAGCTCCATTAATCTATATAAAACAGTACAAGGAATCAATGTTGTGTGAATAATATTAGTTAGCTTGCCAGTTTGCTGTACTTTTCCTTCACCTAAAGTTGATTGGATGAAGTGGGAGGGGAGAAGGAAAAGAGAAAAGAGAAAACTAAAAAACCCACCCTAAGACTTAATGACCTACTAGCCTTTTCGCTTTTGAGGGAAGTAGTTGATGTGAAACCATATGGGCAGGAATGATGTTATGACATTGGAAGAGAATCTGCTCACTCCTCCCTGACCAGAGCACATTCTAAAGATTTCAGGTTAGGTGATATTTTTCCTTAGGGTTTAGTATTACAGAGAACAGGGAGGGAAGAAAGACAAGATAGGCTTCTTTAACTGTAAATTATTCCACCTGAATCTTCACTTTTTGGGGGTTCTCAAGTGGCAGCATTTTGTTTTGGTTTTGTGAGTTAAGCAAAGGTCTTTGTGGATTCGTGTGGAAAAGGGTGAATGAATAGAACAGAGGTAACTTTGCCTTTATGTACCCAGCAGAGCTTCACCTCTTTTAGCCCTAGGAATCCCCTCACCATTGCAATAATTCAGTCTGCTCAGCCCTATATCACACTGTTGGCTGTTTTGATTAGCTGATCAATTTCCTAAAAAGTCCAGCGTCTATGAATTGGGGTTGGGAAAGGAAGGTGGTCCCCGGTTCTCTCCTTATCTGAATTAACTTATGATCCCACAAAGTTCTGTGGATTTCCATGTGTCCACCTGACAGGTTTTTGGGGGTATCTAAATCAGAGTCAGAAAGGTTGCTATTGAATTTGGGTCACCTGGTAGGAAAAGAACTGAAATATATTCTATCAAAGGAGTATGGACCCTGGGAATACCTCTCATCAGATCTTCCTTCCCTATCTTTCATCTCTCATTGGGATTCTAAGAATTTTAAGCAATAAAGTGGCTTTTCTTTGTGATTAGTTCAGTAGGAAGAAACAGATAGGACTATCATTACCGCTCAGATTTGAGAAATACTCAGGTCACCTTGGGAGCACTTGGCTTCTATACAGTTGATGCCCACAACTGTGGTTTGTAGAATTAGTAGAGACAAGACAAGGAAGGAACCATTCCTAATGAGCCTTTGTGTCTGGAAAGTTTGATTTCTCTTGGCCTTTGTGACCCCATTTCTTCTCCTAAATTATACCTAATATATGACCTCAGCTCTTCATGGGCTGCCAAAGACCCAGAGTTAGAGTTTGGATTGATTTCTTCACTGTCCCTGCTCCACACACCCTAACCTCACCAGCCCTGGTCATTCATGGGCAGTAATGTTGCAGGGTTGGTCACAGGACAGAGATCCCTGTCATAAGCATTTAAGGTAGGGGAATATCAAATAAGTAGCAACTTATTTGTGACACGAGACTTTGCTTAGGATGCTGCTTTTGTGGGCCTTGTGGTGAGGGCTATACCAAGTTCAAGAGGGATCTCATTTAAATCCCTTGTCGACACCCCTGCATCACTCTGTCGTGACATTTCACCCATCACCTACATTGGGAACGTGGAGAAAGGCAGCATTCTGCTAACAACCTGCTGCCTGCGTTGTACAGAGTCAAGAGGAAGCCAGCTGTTTTCTCATCCCCATAGACTAGCTGACACTGCCATCTTGTGAGCGCTGTGTTCCAGAAGCCCAGGCATTGCCAGTGCTGCTTTGAGACCGGCAGAGGGAGCCCCTGCCTTCTCAGCTCTGGCTGACAGGAGACAAAGGCTGGCTTTCCCAGCACTCTGCTGGTTTCCTCCATGTTGGAGGAGAGAACTATTGGAAACTGACAAGGAGAGGCCTTCTCTCCGAAAGGAGAAGCCAGCCTGTTTCCTTTGCAGGTCTCCTTTCTGGGTTCGGGGATGAAGCTGGCCACTAGGACGCGGGGCAGCTCCTGAATGCCATTTTCCTCCGGTAGAGCCTGCCTGTCAGACAGCTGAAAGAAGCCACCGCTGCTTTAAAATTCTGAGATTAAATAGTTCCAATTCTTTTTTTTCCCCCTTATTTCCACCCACACACTGGATATAGGCCTAAGAGGAGATTTCTTGCCTTATCTTTTGGTTACCTTGCAGGGTGTTATAATGAAGAGTACTAGTCTTAGAGTCTGAAAAGGCCCGGGTTAGAGTCCCAGCTCTGACATTTATTGCTTTGTGACCTTGGAACAGTCACTTAAACTTCTCTGTAAAATTGGCATCAGTATACTTGAACTACCTACCTCACAGGGTTGTTGTGAGGGCTAGCTTTGTGAACTTTACTGGGAGTCATGGTGTCACAGTCAATCTGGTGGTTGCCCAGGGCATTTTTCCCCGACCCCAGGCATGAGATTTGGACCTATGCCTCCTTCATCAGGACCAAGGCCAAAAGACACAGCTGGAATCGGCTGACTTTCAGGAGCATTCATATCTGGTCAATTGGCTGTTGAAGGAGGCAGATGACAACTTTCTATTATTTCCCTCCCCAACTTTCCCCTTCTGGGAAAGGCAAAAGGATTGACTTATGTCATAAGTTATAGGTCAACCCTTTGGGAGGGAGAATCAGGAGGGCCCTGGTCACACAGGCCCCTCATCCTTTTGGCCAGGGAGTCTTCAGATCCCTGCCCCTTAACTTTTGTGTCTGTGCCAATTGCAGGCCTAGATGGAATCCTAAGCAAATTTGTAGTAATTGACAATGTGTGTGGGGTAGGCGGGAGGGGGAGGGATGCAAACCCCTAAACATAACCAATGTTATCCTAAGCTGTAAGCATAGCTCTCCTAGATTTTCCTTTCTGTTTTTGTACTTTTTTGTTCCAAGTGACTTCTGATTTTTTTCATTGTGATCCTAAGATCTTAGAAAATTTAAGGAAAAAAAAATTAACATAATTTATTAAAGATGGTTAACAGAAAAAGCTTACCTTTGAAAGGTAAAGTGGAGAAATAGACACTGTTTTTAAATGCCAATAAAAACCTCATTTGTTTCATATATGCAACTTGATTTGCACATTTATGAAGAGGCTTTCTGCATTTTTACTTAGTTTTTTTTGTTGCTGCTGCTGCCCACAACTTGTTCCTTTCTCAAATGTGGCCTCGTGCTTAGAAATGTCAGATTCTGTTACCTAGGCTATATTTATTGTTTAAATCACGTGCCTTTTCATTTTTCTTTGGGGTTATATGTTGGGAGCCAGATGCTGTTTGAAGGAGTATAACAGAACACCAGTTCTGCCACTTGAGTCTACCTTGTTGTAAATGCAGATGTGTGTAGCATGTGTTCTCCAAAATGCCCTTTCTGTCCCCACAAATGAACAAAGCAGGAAAAAATAACATATAGGAAAAATTGATTATCATTATTCCTTCCAAAGGGCCACTCTCTGTGGCCTCCCCTTGGTCAAAAATCCTCATCAAGAGAGCCATGAGTGAAAAAGAGGAGTTCACACCCAATTCTCAGTCTCATGGTGGGAGGGCGTAGAAGGGGTGCTCACTCAACCCTTCAGGGGATCAAAGAATGACCCTTATAAAATGGCTACCATGAGTAGATTGGCATTAAAAGAAGAACCTCAGATCTACTAAGATTTTCAGAGTTTTTCTCTAGGATATTAGCTTGTTGGCTACATAAGAGGAGACAGGAGAATAACTTTTTGGGGGGGAAGCTTATTTTTTTAAGTATTTGTGAGGCCTAAGGAGAGAGCAATTCTTTTTTTTTTTTTTTTTTTTTTTTTTGTTAACTGGAAGTGGAGATTTTCTCAACACTTCAGTGAGTCCCGGATCAAGTTTAAGAGAGTAGTAAAGAATTGAGGGTCCAACGGAAAATGTTTACAATTATATGTTCTTTAGACAAGACCACTTCAAATCATTCTCCTGGGGACAGCTATTTCCAAAGGCCTGGCTGGTTTTCCTCAACATTTTACCCTCTCTCACAGTACTGGGTCGTGTCTAAACCTGAGAGAGAAACTGTTTTGCTTTCCTGATGAATAAAGGGGTTTGTTTTAATGAAAAATTCTCATTTGTTAGAAAATTGTTTATTTTGTTAATGACAGGCTCCATTGTGTGTGTTTCTGTCCTAAGCCTGGATTATTTTATTTATTAATTAAAAGCATATTTAAATTCATTTAACTGCTTTCTTCAAGCCCCATCTAGCCTTATATGGCTATAAAGCATCTTCATTGGAAGAGACAAGCAAATGGGAATAGATTCACATGTAATTTGAGAAGGTAGCAATTTCCCACAGCTGAAGGAAACTATCTTTGATTCTTGTTGGCACCAAGGGAAATGGAAAACCAGATTTTTACTGGCCAAAAGGCCATGCTCTTTCTGTGGTTCATTCCAAAAAGCTATATAGGACCAAGTGATTCCTTAACATTTTGGGTCCTTCCACAACATTAAATATAGTAAAGGTAAATGTACTCCATATATGTTGATCTGAAAGTGTCTAAATGAAAATACTATTCTTGACTGATCTAGTAAAGATTATCCATCTAGACTGCCCTAAGTACTTGACCTTGCTAGTCTAAATTCTAACTCATGAGTTTCTAATACTTTGTGACCTGAAACAGGTTGGTTCACTAGAAATATGTAGCATATCAGCCCTAAATGAAACAGGAATTTAGGGATGGGTCTCTCCTGCTCACAACTGGACCCTTATCCATAAGTATATTCAGAACCATTCATACAGGTTTTTTTTTTAATTTAATGTATATTGAATGAAAAGTACCTTTTCATTCAATATTAAGTTTTTGCCTCTGAATTTCAAATAAATGAGACTTTATTATATTTCAGATACTCAATATAGAGAAGATCTCTTTCTCCCTGCTTTCTAGGGTATCTCGCTGCCCCCTGCTGGATGGGGGGGGAATCCATAAGTACCCACTGGGAGCAATCATGTTATCACCCCAATTGGATTCTAGGTTGTTTGTTGATTCTAGGATTCTAGGATCTCTTTGTTTGTAGTTGCTCAAGTTCTAAGGAGACCAAATTCCGGAAATTGCTCTTAATGCTGGTGTGAACATAATGTTGGATGTTACCTCTCCAAAGTATAATTCCCAAAGAGGTCAAGAACTGGACAAGGTTAAACAAAATCAGTTGTTACTAAAATAAATGTTATTTTTTTCCTTCTCTGGTTCCTAGACTTTTCCTTACCTGATAAGTCTGCCTGCTAATTCCCTTTAAAGAACATCATAGATTTAAAAAGCTATTTCTGTTCTATGTCCCACCTTATATGATTGAAATTAAAAGATATAGGAACACCAACTAATCCTTTGATACAAAAACCTTGACTGCATCTTCAACTGAATGGACATTTTTGTACCTTTTCTCCTCTTTTGTGGATATAGAAAAGGAAGATGGAATAGAATGTATTGCATTGCCGTCCACCTCCATCCCAATTACTTGAACTTATGCAGTCATGGGAATGGATCTCTACCCACTGGATAGGGAATTGTAGGCAAATGAACAATCTCTAGAGACCAAAAGGGAAGCCACGTTTTTAGAAAGATTTCGGGAAATTAATATCTAGTGTTGCCAACTTTACCTTTTTAAATGGTGCTTTTAGGGGAATGGGGGAGAGGAGGAAGATATGGAAGTAAAAAATGTTATGGGCAGAGGCTTGAAATTGAGGTGAGGACCCTAAGGCTAAAGGGGGTCTAGCTAGATGAAATTCTGCCACACATTTCCATGTACCTCAAAAACAATTGATAGCAATCATAGGGAGCAAACTACAGGACAGCTGGAATCCATGAAATCTGGGGGTTTGTTTTTGTTTTTAACCAGTCTGCTCCGGTATTAAAAGCAATGGAGTTGTGAAAGATAAATCTGATGCCAAAGGATGTAACATCCCTTCCACTATAGTTTGAATTCATAACCTTGATACTTTCAAGCTTAGTTTAAACATGCAGACTGGTGTGTTCCACTATACTCTTCAAGCAGCTCACAGCTCACCAAATACTGGTTACAACTATTTCCTATTGTTCAGTTCCTGAGGTTTAATAGTCCAGAATTCTAAAAATAAGGTGTAAATGTCTGAATGTACTTTACTGGCATAGAAAGCAATGCTTGTTTTTCACTGTTGTAGAGAAAACTAGGGAGAACTTTATTTTTCAATAAACTTTTTTCTTGTGTGACTGGTGGAACTCATTTTTGGTTTGGAGCGGAAATCCAGGATCCATGTACAGTACTCATTTGAATTCTATCTGGCTGCTCAAAATACAGTCCATTGAAACTAGTTGTTGATGACATGACCAGGAAGTGGGGACAACCAAAGCTAAGTGATTTAAAATACTCTTTGGGGGTACTTTTAGTCTTCCTCACACCCACTTCAGATCATATGTCCCTGTATGTTCTCTCTCCACATGCATCTAAAAAGGGAACTAGGGAAACTAGCTCCATTTTATTATTTGAATCCTGTGTAGTAATACACTGATAAAAAGCCAGCTAGTAAAATAGCCCAGGAAAGACCAAATTCACACACACACACACACACACATATACACATACACACTTTCACTGAAGCATTTAGCTGTCCTGCAGAAATTATCCTTAAAAACAAGCCAGGTTTCTAAGAGGAGAGCCTGTTTATTAACCTTGTTCTCCTTTGAGGTCAGACACCATGACTGAAGGAAATAAAAGACCAAACAGTAGGCACTCTATAAATGTTTTTTTTTTCCCTTTCCCTCTAAAATATGAATAATTATTTCTATTACAGACCTCTGGGTTGAGGAAAGTAGCTTTGTAAAGAATAGAAGCTCTCATTTGTATCCTGTTTTAATAATCAGAGCTAAAGAGAATTACCAGAACCTTTTTACCTCTGATTTGCTTTGGAGCTAGTGGAGAGAAAACTGGGAAAACCCTAAGAGTGGTCCATGAAGGCTAGAATATGCCCTATTAGAGCATCAGATTCATTCTTGGACAAAATATCCCCATGTAAACCTAGACAACTGATAGTACCATTGAAGAAGTACCATGCAAGAAGTTGAGGTGAGAGGGGCAGCTAGGTGGTACAGTGGACAGAGCTCTGGCCTTGGAGTCAAGAGGACCTGAGTTCAAATCTGGCCTCAGACACTTGACGCTATCTGTGTGACCCTAGGCAAGTCACTTAACCCCGATTGCCTCACCAAAAAAGAAAAATAAAGTTGAAAGTGAGGTGACACCAAGCCTTTATGTAATGCGCTCCATGGCCTTAGGGGCCCCCTCTGACTAGACATGGTGTGATACCATTAGACCATTGGATAGATGAATTACCCAACATCTTCATTTTAGGGATGAAGAAACTGGAACCTAGAGTTTGTAACAGCATTAGAAGCCCAAGGTAACATTAGCAGAACATAGGAAAAAATAAAGCACTGAAGACTACACCTTCCCACCTCACCTTTACAAGAGGCAGTGTGCTTGTAGATTGACTTCACACTGAATCACGTTTCTGTGGTAGAGTGGGACAAACATCATACCTGGAGTTGCAGGAGCTGAATTCAAGACCCAGTTGGTGCTTCTTGCTACCTATGTGATTTTGGCCAAAAGTTGCTAAATGAAGGAGGTTTGACAGGATGATCTCTAAGATCTCTTCCGGTTCTAAATGTTTGATTCTGTGACCTTGAAGTCTTAAGAGTTGGAAAGATCCTCAAAAGTCACGTAGCCTAACCTTTCACATAATCATGGGGGCCTCGTATTGCAAGGTGGCTCTCAGAAGGGAGTGTGACGTGGCAGATAGTGCTTGACTTTGAGTCAGCATGTGAGACCATGTTTCCTGACTGACACTAGTTGTGTAATCATTGGCAAGCCACCGAGCCTCAGTTTGCTGTGAAATCAGATGGACGGGCAATATGGCATATTATATGGAGTGCCAGCCATGAACCTTTATCTTTCTGACTCCAAATTCTACTTTTGACATACACTGACTGTGTAACCACAGGCAAGTCATAACCTCTTAGGGTCTAAGACTTAAGTCACAGACTGGCTGTTGATCCACACCTGGGCAGAAAGATGCATATCAAGCCAAAATGATGATAACTCTTGTACTTTCTCCTTCCCAGGGCTGTAGTGAGATAAGGACTTCATAAACCTTAGACCTCAATTATTACTCCACATTTTATTTTTGAATAGCAGTAATTGTTAGGAAGTATTTTTATATATTAAGCCAAAAACTGCCTTCCTGGACAATTCCCCATTTTTCTGAGGTCAAGGAAAATGGGTTTAATCCCTCCTCAACATGACAATCTTTTAAATATTTGCAGACATTTATCATTTTTCTCATCTACCCACACCAGGGTAGCTAAGTGGTATAGTAGATAGAGCACTGGACGTGGAATCAGGAAGACTCATCTTCATGAATTCAAATCCAGTCTCAGACACTTACTAGCTGTGTGATCCTGGGCAAGACACTTAACCCTATTTACCTCAGTTTTCTCATCTGTAAAATGAACTGGAGAAGGGAATGACAAACCACTCCAGTATCTTTGCTAAAAAAAAACCCCAAATGAGGTCATGACTGAACAACACCTCACCCCATTCCTCCCATATCTTTTTACTTCTAAACCAAATATCCCAAATTCTTTCAACTCTTCCAGATCCTTCTCTACCCTTGTTCTTCTCTGTTTATACCTTAGTTTACCAACATTCCTCTTACAATATTATCGCCAGAACCAAACATATGATTCCAGATGGGCAGATGAGGGCAGACTGCAGTGTGAGAATCCCCATGCATCTGTGAGTGCAGCCTATAGTTATATTTGCTTTTTTGACTGCTAAATTATGCTGGTTGGGTGAGGGGAAAAAAAAAAACATGAATCTGAAAGCAGAGGACCTTGGTTCAAATGCCGGCTCTGCTAACGTTACCTTGGGCTTCTAACGATAAGTTACAATCTCTAGGCTCCCTGGTTCTTCACCTCTAAAATGAAGATGTTCGGTTATTCATCTATCCACTGGTCTAAAAATATACTCCTAGAATCACAGAAGTTAAGAGTTAAAAGGGATCTCAGCAACCATTTAGTTAATTCTAAAAGGAACTCTTTCCATCCTATTGTACCTTTCCTGCTCCCTACCCTCTTTAAATATTTGACAGAAAACTTATTGCCAGAGGCAATGAGGTGGCACAATGAATAGATCTCTAGACCTGGAGTCAAAAAAAGACCTGATTTCACCAAAGGCCTCTGATAATTACTAGCTATGTGACCCTGGGCAAGTCACTAACCTTTGCCTCAGTTTCCTCAACTGTAAAATTGGAGGTATGATAGCACCTACCTCACAGAGTTGTTTTGAAGAGCAAATGAGATAGTGCCAGGTACACAGTAAGCACTTAATCAATGCTCGTTCCCTACCCCCACACACATACCTCCTCACCACCAATAACCTAGAACACATAAGTATTAAAGACTAAGGGATAACATACAGATGGATCTACTTATTTTCCCCAGATTCTATAATCACTATCTAGAGAGGCAGTACGGTGTAGTGGCCAGATTTGGTATTAGGAGGACCTGAGTTCAAGTTCTTCTACCTTAAGAGCTATAATTATTTGATACATATTACCTATGTGACCCATGGAAAATCAAAATCTCTTGGTGCTTCTAAGCATTTTTAAAACACAACTGCAAAGATGTTCTTTATCTGCATTGGTGGATGGAATTTTTAACACAGCAGTTAAATCATAGACCAAAAGAAAAAAATTATTAAAACCATCATCCAGGGAAAATACCAGCCTCACACTTGCAGAGTGAAAAATGCTTCCAAATATTATATCCCCATACCATATAAAATAGATATTTTTATTGATCATACACCATTACTTTAGAGAAGCAACAGTGTTAGAGGTATAGAATGCCTTGTGTTGAATGAACATTTTTACAGAAGAATCTAATCTAACAAACCGCACAAACTGAAAACATCCTACTCTTTAGAGAAGAGTGCATCATCACTAACACCATCATAGACCATTTACCATTTTTAACAGGGCATATAGATATATGCATATAGATTATATATATATAATTTTTATTTTTTTACAAATAAAAGACTTCAGTTTTTACTTCTCAAAAAATGGATCCATTTTAATAGTCACTTTCAAGTTCTGAAGGTCAGTGAAAAGGGACATGTGCTTGGTTGGTCCATGCAAAGCTCTTATACGTGTCACTAAGTACTTTAAAAATAGAGTAGCTTCTTTTAAACTAATTGGTTAAGATTTAAGATTAGTAAAACAGTATGAAACCAATTAAATACATTGTTAGAAATTACAGGGCCATACGTGGATGTCTCTGAAGGGATAGCTGGGTAGGAGAAAGCTATGGGTCCCCTTGGCCTCACTGAGTGGAAACAGAGCTCCCAATGTCACACGTAAAACTCTTTCAAAATGGGCCTCGATTACTAAGTAAAGGTCTCATCCTACCCAGGAGAAGATTTTCACTCTAGAGAATGAAAAAGTGTCCACTAGGTAGGGCTGGAAAATTAAGACCTCATCTGTCCCTCCTATACATGTTTCAGTAATGCACTGTAATAGGAAAGGGAGCCTGTGGTGCTGAGGGACGACCAGTGCACAGACTTATCTGTTTCTATGGATCTACTTCCCATTAGAACAGACTTTACAAAAGAAAATTCCCCAAAAAGAAATCGGATGTTCAATTAAATAATGTTGGCACCATATGCCTGTACTTTTGAGAGTCCTCATGCTACTGATGCAGGGTAGGGGACAGCTGGTTCTGCCCCCGCCAGCTCCCTTCATTCGAACATTTCATAATGGCGGGTTTGCCTCACCCGAGGCACCATGTCGATGAGTAATCTGAAAGATAAAACCAAAATAAGGTCACTTCTACACCTGACCATCAGTCTGACCATTTGAACTTAAATCCTGCCTCAGACATATACTAGCTTTAAGTGTTGCCCTGGGCAAGTCATAAAAAAAAAAAAAAACCTCTATTTGCCTCAGTTTCCTCATCTGTAAAATAGGGATAATATAGCACTTACCTCCCCACATTGTTAGGTGGATCAAATGAGATAATATTTGTAAAGTGTTCTGAAAATTTTGAAGTGCTCTATAAATGTCACATCATTATCATCATCATAATACTCCACTGAACCACTGATAAAACCCTGAAGTTTAGAATCACTTTGACTTTTTAAAAAATGGCCACTAGAA